TTTAAAAGAAAAACTAAATAAAAATTTTTTTAATTTATAAAACTTTAGATAAACTTTAAAGCATACCATCAGGACTACAACTTCGGAACTTGTGGATTTGGGTGGTAAACTAAAAATACTGCCACAATTTGTCAATGTTTCATTGACAGCTTTACAAGGATCATTAGGAGTATTATAATCTTTTTTGGGGAAAGATCTAAAGAAAATTATTTAAAAAAAGTATAATTGAGCAAAGAAAAAAAATTACGATGCAAAAAAAATAATTTTGGTTATATTTATGGTGGTGTAGTTGGATTTTGTTTTGGTGGTGGTGTTGATGATGGTGTTGCTGATGATGGTGGAGCTTTAGCTGGCATTTTAGACGGACTGTTAATATTAATAGGTTAAAATATTTATTAGACATTTTAATTTGTGTTTATACTATTTATATAAAGAAATTTCCTAACTTACGTTGCAGGTGTTTTATCAGGTACATTTCTACAATTTTAAAATTAAATTGTTATATGATATTAGAATAATTTTCGGGGAAAATTATTTAAATAACTTATGATGGATTATTAACATCATAGCCTTCATTGAGACAAGTCTTCGCAAATATTTCAAAAGTATCTACAGTGATAGTAACTCCTAGACCTTGGTAGCATGAAACGCAGCCAGCAACATAATCATAAAATATAGCTGTACACATACATTTATATATATGCAATAGTTTAGGTGCTAAATAATTTTAACAAATAAATTATTAATTTGGTAACAAAGAAAAAAAAAGATTAAACAATTTTAACTGAATTTGTTATTTATTACTCACAGTCAACTTTAAGAGCGTAATTGAATGGTTCAGCACCACTCAATGCTTTAGGAGGTATTGGTGGTAGTTGACCGTCACATGGAGCTAAAGTTGCATTTGCCATTTTACATGGATCATTTATGCCATCACCGCAATTCGGATCCATTTGACCATAAACATTAACTGAAATTAATTGCACCATAAAAAACAATAAAATTAATGATCTCATCATCTTCTTCAGCATAAAATTTCGTATAAATAAAAGAAAATAATATTTTCATTAAAATAAAACATTCATATAAAATGGACGATATATATATATTAATTATTTATTTAAAATGAATTAAATTATCTTCACATTGTGCTTAAAAAGGGGTTATAAAAGTGCGTGTTCAAAAGAAATATCTCGTGCGACGTTTAACGGATGTCGTATTCCGGGAATCTTGATGTCATGAAATTTTTGTTAACTTGTACAGCTAACGCCAACAGGAAAAAAAAAAGGAAATCAACCAATGTTTAATGCTGAATCTCGGATAAATGTAATAACACGAAAAATATAATGGAATGTTGATTTTTTAACATTTTCCCTTTCTTTAGCATTCTAAATATTAATTAAACATAACGAATATAAATTTCTTATTTTATAATGAAGTTTAAAAAATTAATTAATAATGATTTAGATTTTTGTGAATATTTCTTAATGATTTTAAAATAAAATATTGAATTTGTTAGAGCATTAAAGTATTGTGACATTCTACAAAAGAGCTAGGCGGCCTTAGCGCCAAAATGTAACAAATGTAACGGTTAGAAGAATAAAAATTTCTATATATTGGAATTAAATTTAATTCCAAAATTTTTTCATACATGTATGTCGAATATTGCTTTTACAGGCTTTTTTATGGCAGATGCGTACTTTATTTTTAGCATTAGTTCAACCCTCCCTTAACATTAAAATTCTTTGCATATGTGATCGCTTAATGTTAACATAATATTTTTTCGACATTAGTTCAGAATCAAAATTCGAATCCTTAGCAATAAATGATTATTGAAAAGACACAATAACGAGTAGTGTATGCTTCATATTTATACATATTTATACTCAATTGCCTTATTATAATTAAAGTTGAGTTGCGATATAATTTTTATTGATTAGTCAATTCCATTACACGAATTGTTCCCTTAAAACAAGTTCTCGCTCTTTAAGAGCTAAATCCTTCTCCCGGTATTCAAGTTCATTAAATCTTAAAGTCACCTTATTCTCTTTACCATCATCTTCATTTTCAGCCACAGTATCAGAATCAACTTCAATAGTTTATCTACTCCTTTTCTTATTACCGGATTGTACAATTTGTTTATGCTTTACATTCATTGACTTTGATTTCGGAGTATTTGATTTGTATACATAAATAAATCAAATAATGGAATTAGAATTCAAGTTAATTAATTTAAAATATATTTTAGTGTATTATAATATTATCTTTACGTTTATTTGATTGTACATTTTGTGTGATAGGACCTTTATTACGTTCACGATTAGGCAAATTCATTATATTTTTGATGAATATAAATAGCTGTAAATCTTTCTAATTTTCGCCCTATGTAATAATAAATAATAAAAATTAATAATATTTTTATAAACCAAATAAAATTCACTATATTTATATTGATACATACTGAATAATAGCAGTTACCAATTTAAGACCATTTCCATAACGATTACTTAATGCATGTGCTGCTTCTGCAACATTGGTATTATTAGGTGATATCATCCACATTTCACTGTCAATTTTCGACATACATCTGTTTAATGATGCAATGACCCATTGCTGTCTATAAAATTTAATCCAATCTAATAAAAAAGTAAATAAGTATTTTTATAAAAATTTTAAATTAGTATTATAAATTCTTTTACTAACTTGCGACACTTGCAAGTATTTGAATATTATCAAATAATCTATTTATTGCATCTTCTGATTCAACTGTAAGAAGTGCATACATATCATTTTTTACACTAGAATCATAATGTTTTCTCAAATTTTTCTGTATAATACATATTATACAAAATAATTATTAAATACATTAATAGTAATAATAATTAAATAAAGTTAATTAAAATCCTATCCTTACCTCTTATAATGTATATAATATGACTTGAAAATATGAAATAAATGCTTATTTCATTTAATACTAATCTCAAACCTTTTGCTTGTATATAATCTAAATCTGCAATAATGAAATCTCATTAAGTTTTATGAATATGTTTAAATTGAGAAAATGAACCCGTTAATTGAAATAAAAGATCAAATAATGCATAAAAAATTCTTTGATATGCAATAGTTGTTGCATAATTAGTAAAGATTTGAACAAATATAAGGACTAAAATTATTAAAAATAAAAATATAAAAAATTTAAATTAATATATAATTTTTTTATGAAAATTTTATTTAACCAAATTAACTTATTTAAATATGCTGTAAATTATAATAATTAACTTCAAATTCATTTATTTCACCTGTTACACACTTAAATAAAAGATCTATTTAGAAGTATTAAACTTTTATCCATTCAGACAATTGTTTAAAAGTTATATAAATAATTATTATATATTATCTTCAAAAATTCTAATTAATATAAAAATACAATAATTATTAATTAATAACTTTAATAATAATAATATTTAAATTAATACTTTAATTTATCTTATCTAAATGCTTCATATATTCACAAAAATTATTATTATTTCATGCTTAATTGTAAACAACTCCAAGAATTCAATAACTCTGTAAATGAATTTCTATCAATATAATATCAAAGAAGATCAGCATTATTTAATGAAGCATAAATGTTAGTAAAATACTCAGTATCAAAATATGTTTTAATAAGTTTTTCTAATAAATAAAAAGCATTTACAATATATTTAAAATTAAATTATTTTTAAAATATATTAAAGTTATCTAATTTAATGCTAGTTAGTATAATATCTATGGTATTATTATTTGCTTAGTAAATTAATTCTTGTAATTAAATCTAAATAGTTATTCGAATGTGAAATATAGCATGATTTGGTATTAGTAATAAGAATAATATCTTGCAAATCATATACTAAAGTGCTAAAAGACAGATTGATCAACTTAATGGAAATATCATTTTTGTATTTAACTTGTTCTGAAGAGAGATCTACAGAATAACCACTTATAAAATCATTATATAAAAAATGTGACTATTGTGTATAGAATAAAGATGGAGCTGTAATTAATTTTAAAAATTTTAACTAGTTGCAACTTAAGTTGCAACTCATTGAGTTGCAACTATTTATGAATTTTTATATTAAAATAAATTTTACAAGAAGTTGCAACCAGTTGCAACCCAAGTTGCAACTTACCAAGTTGCAACTTCTTAATTACAGTACCATCTTTAGTATAGAACAACTGGATATCTTAAGGATTATCGTATATAATATAAGCATATTATCATAGATTACGAGTTTGCAATGTAACATTAATTATATTATCATATTTAGCAAAAATAGTTAAAAGTATATCTTTTTAACATTTAAGTGAATTTCAGTAACATATAAAATACGTTGTTGAAATTGCATATTATCTTTGTATAATTAATAGTCAGTAATTTAGTAATTTTTAAATCAGAAATTTTATAATAAGGGCTGATTTTTGTATAATCTCATTATCTAAATAGATGATTACTAATCTAACAAAATTAATATTGAAGCTGTGATTTGTGACTGTAGCGATTATATGATTTAGTTGACAAATATGACAGATTTGTCATATTTGACTAATAATTCCTATTTATCATATTTATAATATTTGTTAACTTTATTAACTTTATTAAATTTGTTATATTTGATAGATTTATTTCATTTATTATATTTATTATATTAGATATATTTATCATATTATATTACTATTAGTTTATTTTAAATAAATAATATATATTTTTCTTTGAGTTGAAAGATAACTTATGATAACTTGAAATAGAGTTTTGTGAATAAACTAAGAGTTCAATAAAGATATTTATTATTCATTATTATTACCCTTAAATGTGTCTTAATAAGCAAAGTGAGTATTAATAGCTTTAATGATAGCTGTAATAGAAAGTTTACAAGCTAATTTTTTAATTAAAGAAACGTAAGCAAAAGATAAATCAAGTAATAATTATAAAGTTATTAGTATTCATATTTTTATTGTCTTTAACTAAAAATATTTATATTTATCAAACTCTAGAAAATTAGGTAAATATATCTTTCTTGATTTGAAAAGTTCCTTTTATAATAGTTTCATCAAAAAGCAAGTTTTCATTTAAAGCTTATTTATGATAAAGGAGAGGCTACAGAATTGGATTTTTTCTTTTGAAATCAAAACAGAATTTATTTTTTGACTATTAGTTTTCCAGTTCAATTATTACATATTTTAGTAATTAAAAATTTATGTAAAACTCTTTAGAAATAAAGGTATAAAAATGAAGAAATAAATTAACTAATAAAATTGTAATTATTACAGTAAATAAGTCGAAATAGTTTATTTTCTAAAAAATTTTAGAAAAGTGAAGAAGAAATATTTTTTTATCTTTACTAAGCACATGATGGTGACTAATATTGGATGAATACTCTTAACAGAATAATATGACTTATAATTCATATTCACTACTATAACAGTAAGGCAAAAATGGGAATTCTGGGATAAAATTCCAAAATAGTACTCAGAAAGATTCCTGCCTGCCTACAAATTAATTCTAGCTATATGAATCAAATTATCGAATTTAAACCTCTAGCGTGATTTGACTAAAATCTAGATAATGATATCGATCTTGGTTAGGAATTAACCTTCAGATATCAAGAATTATACTGTTTGATATAACCATTCTAGCCTGATTTTAATATATCAAAAATTTTTTACTATTCTGTTTGCCTCTGGAGTGCCCAGCGAAAATCAAGGAACAAAGTGACGCGATTTGAGCTGGGCCTGACATTGCAAACCCAAATTTAATAATAACTTTTATACTATTCTGCTTACTTCTGGAGGGCCTAGCGAAAATTAAGGAATAAAGTGACGTGATTTGAGCTGGGCCTGACCATGCAAGCCTAAAATATATACTATATTTCATGATATCTTAAAATTAATTCTAAAGTCGATTCATTATCAGTTAACAATACTAAAAATTTACACCTATGCACAGCATAGGTGTAAATTTTTGAATGTATACAAGAAAGTCTAAAAGCTTTAGATCAAGTTCTAGTATACTAATAATTTCTCGATATTCAGTAAACTATTCTTAAGCCATTTTCTTTACATAAAGCTAGGATCACTAAATTACACCTTAGGTATAAAAAAAATTGGGTTAGGTGTAAACTTTTGAATGTATACAAGAAAGTCTAAAAGCTCTAGATCAAGTTCTAGTATACTAATAATTTCTTGATATTCAATAAACTATTCTTAAGCTATTTTCTTTACATAAAGCTAAGATCACTAAATTACACCTTAGGTGTAAATTTTTCATATGTCTTAGTACTAGGTGTAAAATTTTCAACATTAATTTGCCTCCCAATAAGTACCCATGGCTCTATCCCGAAGCCTATTAATATACTAAGTCACATAATAACCACTAGCATGTTTTCTACAAAGGCCAGGCTTAGAGTTAGTCGGCTTATCACAAATCTTGCAAGGAAGACGCTTCTTAGCTTTCCAATATTCATGACTAAGGATCAATGACAGGTACGCTCACAGATGCTACCAGTTCGAAATAAATAGTTGCAAGAATATTCGCCAATCATAGTAATAATAAATATTCTATTTTAAATAAAAGTTTCTGCTATATTAATACAAATAACAGAAAATATATACTTTATATACAATGAGTACACAAATTCAATTATCTGAAGCAAAGCCAACCTTCCAGAAAATAGAGTAGGCATTAATAAATGTAGTTAAAGCAGGAATATATTATAGAAAGCCAAAAAATGGTAAATTCATGTAAACTATAAAGTGTGAGTAAAAAAATTACGCTAAACAGAAGATCCGATGCATATATTCTAGAAAATGTAAAAAGATTGTTTCCAGATAAGGATAAATATCATAGTATTATGGATGACTATAAATTTTGGTATGGAAAAGATCCAAAAATTCTTAATGCGGTAATAGATCTATATAAATTATACTATAAATTAGCCAAAGATTATTTCAATACTAAAGAACAAGTTAATAAAGAACTTGAAGACTTTCTTAATTACTAAGCATCTATTGAGGTGGTAGCTGTGCTTTTTTAATAACCATCAATCTTTCTCTCACAAAAAATCTTTCCAGACTATTGCCTTTATCATCTTCTAGCCAATATAAGACCGGCTGATTTTTTTGCACTAAAGATTTGTGGATATGATAGATTTGAGGAGACCAATTCATATCACCAGCACGTCTTCTTCCACCTTTTAACTCATCAGGTTTAAGTAAATATCTTACAAGAACATCATAAGTTAATTGCTTCTCATCAAACCCCATAGGCCTATTTTGAGGCTTAGAAGGTTTAGCATAAA